AAAAATTCAACGGAAATACCAGTCCTTCATTACCTTAAACAAAATAAGGTTAATACATCTCTGATCCTTTGACAATCATGTTATTTTCTTCTCACGATCCGCATGCTTTAGTGTATTATTTCCTATGGATATTCATTCCTAAGAAATAGCATACTCAAATTGTTAAGAATTTGTTTGACCTTGTTTTCGCCACGTGATCATATGGTAGGAAAACATAGAGGAACGCATCTAGTCCGGAGTCCATAGTATGCATGACAATTTCCAGAGTCGGACCGTGGAAGTTGTACATTCCCAAACGTTTCGCCGGCATCGTAATCGACATCATCAGTGAGCTTTGCCATTGTTAGCACCACACTACAATTCGTCTAAGACCCAAATGAAGCTGATTCGTTGACCATTTGTCTGCTAAACAATTGTGGTATCTCTTCTGTCCTGGGCTATTCACCATTCCTCGTATCACTCTTTCACTATCACAATTTGTCATTCAAACGTGGCATGGTGTGCCTTTTTTTAGCGGATTTAATTTGAATTCTTCAAACCCCACACTGGCTTTCTCACCCCTTCACCCCACAATCCCCTTCCCATAGGTCTTATCACAGTCTCCCTCTTGCTCCGTAGGATCCGCCTCCTACCTTAGTCTTGGTTCAAGTATTTCACTCGACCCCTGCTACCCTATCTGTACTACTCGAAGCGTTATTTCCTATGCCCTAGTATCTTGTTTTCCAACCCATAAATGTTGTGGTTCTACTTGTTTTGATTAGGTCCTCTAGGTCTTCCTACCAATATGACCAAGTAGCAAAAACAATGTCAAACTACTTCTATTAAACAAAAGGAGATTGCGACCATACAAAAGGCCACACCATTTTGTTCTTCAAACCTCAGATGTTAAGTTCACTCTTCCAGAAATCCATATACTTTAGTCGTATGTTTCTTAGGATCATGCTCTGTAATTATGATGCGCTAGAAATTTAGGCTTGTTTTTGTTTATAGTTTAATTTGTGAGACTACCAGTAGACGTTTACCAACAGAGGTGAGAGTTGTGAGCCTACTGACAGATCAACTATCTGTTCATATATACGGTCGAATTGGTTAATCGAGTTAGATACCCTTTTTGTATTCGCTCCGATTCCAAGATATCGTCTTCTCTTCACAAGAACTTTATCAATGCGGTGAACTCTTTCCTAAGATCTTTGTATGCATGTATCTCGGAGTTAGCCAATGGTTCTCTTAGCTCCAATAGGATTTTTTGATTATTTGAGTAAATTTATAGAAATTATTCACTATGTTGAATTTCGCTAGCCTTTGTGTAATTCCTTGATTCTTGCTTAGTCTCCATCTTATTGGTTCTTCATCCATGTGTATTTTCAGCAAGCCATAAGCTGCCAGAGGTCTTGCACCTTCTAGTCATATTTAATTCATTTTCCATATTTTGATTTACTCATTTTTATTTATTTCCTTCATCATTTCTTGCAGTGCCCCTTTAATTTTAGCCGTTGGGCCAAATGCTAGCAACCGATAAGCTGTCCCTCTCCTAGAATATTAGTCATTTTCTCGTTTTATATCGTCAATCTGTCACAAAACTTGGCACCTTTTTTGTCTGCTTGCATTCCTATTGGATCACTTTTTTCAATGAACTATATATATCCTCGTTAAGCCGTTCCTACTTGAGGTCTCCTGATGAGCCAATAATTTTTATATAATTTCCATTTTCATCCCCTGTTTTGATTCTTCCGTTAATATCTCATTTATGATATCCACTATAATATAAATAATTTCCTCCCTTTCATTTCAAAATGCAAAATTTAATCCTTTAGAAGTGGGTTGACCTCGTTGTCGCAACTTGGTCTTATTTTCAGAGAGACCATGTAGAACGCACCTATTCCGAAGTCGTCTGCCATAGTAGTTGTCATGATTCCCAGCATCCGACAGTGAACTTGATACATTCTCAAA